ACTTAAAGATATACAACGAACTTGAATTCAACCTGATGATTGGTGCTAAGACACGGTTTTTTGAACACTTAAACAAAAACTAATTGCGTCGTGCCTACCTCTCCTTGCCAGTCCGTGTAATAACTTACTGTGTCTGGCGAACTTTGAAAGAAGAATTGAATGTAATTTCTTCATTTTCTGTTCTTTCATGTAGTGAATAATCTTTCTTTTTGTGTTAATGGTTTCTTCCAGCTCTTCAGGTTGGTAGGTGTCATAATATAACTTTTCTTTTTCATCATCAACCTTCATATTATCTTGTTGATATTTCTTGACTTCAACGAAAATAGGGTCATTATAAACAGACGAGCTAAAAATGACTATACGGGCGAAGCAATCCCTATACATTGGATTAAAATTGTTTTGCCACCTGTTGATGAAGCAACAACGATTGAACGAAAGGGCAGTTTTGGTACATGCTGTAGATTGCTTGAACTCGTAACCAGCTATGTTTATTGGTTGTATTATTGGAACTTCAGGCGTAACAAAGAAATATTATACATACTTATAGAATAACAATTATATCTTTTTATTGAATGGAACATCGTTTTTATGACACGCTGGTGGTGAATATCATGAAAATGGAACAGGTTTCCCATTGCTTCAATCAGAAGCACTGAAGATAATTAGTTTGGTACAGCGCGAAGAAAACTCCATTGCTGAGCCCCGAGTATTTATCATGCATGAAATAAGCAGATTCATTACAATAATTTGCCTTATTGTTTGTATGAGTATTGTCCATTGTAGTTGTGGTAAAACGTATGATGATAAATATTTCATGAAACATTTAAACTAAAATATCATTAGAAGATTGTAGAATATAGATGGAGTAAAGACGCTACAATGAAAAACTTTGTAAGAAAAGAATGCAAGAAATGAATGTTCCATGTTAGTGCTTGGCAGGCCTTGGGTGACATGGCATCATTCAGGGAACATGTAAGCTTGAGTCAAAATGTGCTCGCCGTATGGGGGCCATTTTGGCTCAAGCTGAGCCAAAACAGCTTTCTTTCGTATTTGTGTCTAGGATCAGGTTGCTTGATGTTCGGCCATGTATTCCACACGGCCGCATGGGCGACTGTCCCAGTGGACACGCCACGCAATCTTCGCGCCTTCCTATGCCGCGTGCTCTGGCCATGGCGCACCTATCCAATGTCGTCATTGTGTTGCACAAGCCCTATGAGTCGGTTCCAACCATGGTGCAGGGGTTGCCTATTTTGGAAGTCCCATGCACCGAGGCCGATTGCGTCAGGTGCAACAGGAGCTACGGCGGCTTTCAGTTCCCATGGCTTCACCCAGATTGGACTGTGGCAGGTGTGGTGGCCCCCTTGGGAGGGCGGTCCCTGGACTGGGAAGCAGGGACGCGCCGCCTCACACGGGATGACCTTGCCCCGTTTGTGGATGGGGACATGCGAGTCACCAGCATCTACCCGCAATACCTGGAGGCCAGTTTGGACAGGGACCATGCTGTGGTGTCTCGAGCAGACATCTTCTCAGTATGGGCCACCTATTTGCGCATCAGTCGGGTTTGGGAAGACCCGCCATGCTCGCCACGTGCGTGTCCTCGACGATCAGCAGAGGGCAGCGGGGACCCTATGGTCATGGCATATCCAAGAAGCCAATGGCCACCCGCTCCTGCCGGCTTGTACATGGTGTGGCTTGCCGACAGGCAATTGTTGCGACGTCTGTGACATGCCGGTGTGTGACGAATGTGCGGAGGAGTTTCAAATATGCCGCATCTGCGAGACGGCTTAAGGGCTTCGTGCAGGGCCTTCAGCTCTTCGTGGTCATCTCAGCCATGATGATGTGTCCCCCAGTGCAGGTGGTGGGAACCACCGGCCAGCCAGAGGTGCGCGGCCCTCGGGACACCGTCGAGGCGGCTGCATGGGCCCAACGTGTCACTACATGGCGACAGCATCATGGCCTGTTGGATGATGGGGATTTTGCTTTTGCCTTTACAGACGTGACACAAGCCCAGAAGATTGGGGAGTGGTTGGCACACAGTTGGCTGCAAACCCGGAGACGGGAGTTCCGGGACCTGGCCAGGGCCTCTGCCGGGGTTTATGCAGCAGTGTCTACAGTGGGTCCGCTGGAAGGCACCCCACCCAAACGCCCGCCACTTTTCAGGCATCGGGTCAGTGAGAGACAGGTGGCCAGGGCCCCAGCCAAGGTGCTTGAGGCCAGAGGCAGGACCCAGGTGGAGCAGCTGGTGCAGATCCTTCGAGCTGCGCAGGGCCCTACAGCTGGCTTACCGCCAGCCACACTGCAGGAGCGCCTGGACTCAGCACAGCGCCGGGCACAGCAGGTGCAGGGCAGTGCAGCGTTCGCGACTGTGGCGCGAGCGGTTATGACCTGGGATGAACTCATGGCTTTTCTCCAGACCACAAAGCGCCCTCTTGTTGAGCTGGAAGCTTCAACAGTTGAGGCGTTTGTGCATTCACACAAGGCAATGGGCAGGGCATATCACTCACTGAAATGGCTCCAACGCAATTTGCTGATCCCTTTGCACATGGACTCAGTGTTACAGCCGGAGGTTGTGAGGGCCAAGCCGGCCATTGGGGATAACTCCAAACAGGCCCCAGTGCTGGAACCTGCCATGTTGAGGGTTTTGGAGACCGTCATTGCTGCCCAGAGGGCGGGCAACCCTGCATGGACGGGATGCTTGGACATTGGATTCAGGGCTTTGGCTGCCTTCGCATGGCCCATATTCGCCGGGCCGTTGTATTGCGGGCTAGCCCCAATATGATCCACTGTTGGTGCCCAAAAGGAAAGCAAAAGAACCTCAGGCATGGGGGCTTTGACTTCGCCATCCCACGGTTTTTCGTGACAACCCAGTGGGATTGGTGGGAGATGTACAAGCCAGCCTATTTAGCAGTTCCACTTTTGAAGCGGCGTGATTTCGGTGTGGTTTTTGACAGTGCAAAGTTGGCCTCGCTGACTCAATCCGCAATCACATCAGCCATTCGTCGGATCATGTCGGATCACGTACAGGATCCTGACAGTCTTACAAGTTATTCAGCCCTGGCTTCCTTGGTAGGTTTGGAACCCACTGAGACTCAAGCTCTGTCCGACTGGCAGTTGAAACCGCCTGAGGGGCAGAGCTTGATGCCTTTGCGGTATAGTGCAGTGCGCTACTTGCTGTCGGTGAAGATCAAGCTGCAATTGGCCGGGGCTCTCAGGTCTGCTCTGTCATCAGTGCATGTGACCACATGGGAGAGCATTAGCCCGGGCACGTGGCAGCAACATCTAGAAAAGGCCAAACTAGAATGCGACTTGAGCTTGGTGCATGAACATGTCACTCATTGGGCGTCTCAAGAGCTTAGCGCCCGGGCGGCCCGCCGGTTCACGCTGACATCGCCCAAGATGGCTTACCGGAATGCCCCGCTCGAGAACCTGGTGCCCGGCAAGGTGGTCTCCTTGCGGTTGAAAGGCCGCGAACAAGATGTGCTCTGCTTGAGGTACCAGACGAACAACTGCGCAGATCCCGACTGCCGCCTCGATCATAAGTGCGGAATCTTGATGCGCAGCGGCAGGACTTGCGCTGGACAGCACCCTGCAGCGGACTGCTTTGCCAAGAAGTACATGTCCCGGGAAGCTTTCCAAGCGACCCAAGAGCTTCAATGGCCTGCAGCTGGCCCTACATCATCAGCAGCATCTTTGGGCGATCGGGCCCCTGTGAGCCCTGCAGGGGGACCTGTACGGGCAGCAGCAGCCAGGGCGGTGAGCCCTGTGCCGGAGGTGGAGGCTGTTGAGGATGAGGAGCCTGCATTGCCGGTTCACTTGGAGCCAGCCCGCGAGGCCCGACCTAGGGAGGCGGGAGCCTTCCGAAGGGGTGGCCAGCCGGCGCGGTCCAGATCCAGGAGCCCACCAGAGGACGAGATCTTCAACCAGTGGGCGAGGGAGAGATGGTCCAAGCCCGGCCATAGCGGCAGGCCAGAGCCGCCCACACCTTTGCCAGTGCCACAGGGAATGGGCACTCTTTGGTTGGGCCCTTTGCCAACAGAATCGCTTCGCAGCTTTTTCGCAGAACAGGGCATTACAGCCATGGTGACAGCGTTCCTTCAGCCAGTACACACCCAGCGCGCAGCCGGGGAACAAGGGATTGTTCCTCAGGGCTGTATGCAGGTGCGCTTTGCTGCAGCTGATGAGAGATTCAGGGACGCAGAGGCTGTACAGGCCTGGCACTTGGTGGAAGCCACCCTCAAAAGAGGGGAAGGGGCATATGTACATTGTCTTGCAGGTGTTCACCGTGGACCCCTGGCAGCAGGGGTGATGCTTGCAGCGATCCATGGAGGCGACATGCATCGGGCCACCACGATGATCCAGGACGCCCGCGCGGTGGAACTCCATCGCATGTGGACAGGCGGCCGCCACCACTCACAGGATAACTGGGGATGGGCTACCAGCATGGTACGCCGCCTTCGGCATCGCACTGGAGCGGGAGTTCCAGTGGATGGCTACGAGGTGGCACGGAGGCCTTCTTCACGATTCCATGCAAAGAGTGGAGGGATCCCTCTTTGCCAGATGCGAAGAGGAATCAACAGGGCCCGCTTGGAGCACCCGGAGTTCAGTTGCAGTGACATCTGGGAAGCGTTGGCGCATGAGCGAGGAGTGTGTGAGGACTGCTTGTCTTTGCTGCCGGGTAGCATCCGTGCACACGTGGGTTAGGAACACCACTGCAACACTTCTCAATGCCTTATCGTCGCAATGATCCCCCACTTCAGCAGATGTTCCCAACTCACCAGCCCCCTTTTTCTTTTCCGTGGCATGAGAGCAAAAAAAGAGCCAGCTGTGGTCTGTGCAGTCTACAGTGTGGTCTCTTGTCCAAGCTGTGGCCAGTTGAGGGCTCTCTGGTGCACAGTTGTGGATTGTTCTGCTCTCACGTCATAGTTGGGTTGGTAGGACTTGTCAGGCTCGAGAGTGGTGTGGGTTTGTGTGCCTTCCCAACGGCCCAGGTCGGCTGAGCAATGGCGGCCAGGCCCATGGTGGTGCAGAAGGCCACACCGCGAGAGACGTTCGAGAGCCTGGGCAAAGAGTTCAAGTGGGATAAGAAGGTTGTAGAAGCTATATTGTCCGAAGGAATTCAGGACCTTGAAGAGTTTCGCTTTTTGTTTCACGAAGAGAAGCAGACCGATGATTGGTTATCCAAGATTAAAGATCTGCCCAACCCCTCCTTGGAAGGAGCGAGGTTGAGGAAAGCCTGGCATAGCGTTAGGCTGCAAGCTACCGCCCGTGAGAAGGATCACAGCCAGGCTCAGATCCAGGACCTGGACGATCCGTTGGGGGACGAAGATTTACTTGATTTGAAGACGAGTTTTTGGAGGAGGTACAAACTCAGTTTTCCGCCGGAAATTCACCCTTCCGATTCATTGATATCTCGAGTGGCACGGGAGTGCCACAAGAGGATGTTGATGGTCACCAATTTGTGGTTGGTGAAAACGTTGATGTTCCAGGTTACATCGTCCCGCAAGCGGCAGAAAGTCGGAGACATGTTGTACATGGATGCACCTGAGGAAGTTGCACCAGCCACTAAGGACCTGTCAGGATACCTGTCGCGGTTGCACACGTATTTGCTGGCACTGGCCATTGCAGGAGTGCGGGCCATTCCAGGTGGGGCGGACCCCAGCACTGAGAGGGATCTCGGTGCGGACAGTACCAAAGTGGTGCAAATTCCCCTGGATACCCTCATGGCTTACTATTTTCGGGCAGTTCGGGCTGTTCAGTCCAAAGGAGGTGCATCGGCTTTGGCGTGGTTGGAGCAGCAGGATATCCAGGAGCGTGCTCATTGGGTTCAGTCCTTCAGGCAGTCCCAAAAGCATTTGGGGGTTATCGTGAAAGAGACCATGCAATTGAGAGATGCCCACTGGATTTGTGAAACGTGAAGTTCACCACGGCCTCAGGGGACAAGCTCTGCAAGGACTTCCAACATGGTAGGTGCCAGGCGGCCAATTGCAAGAAGGGGCTTCACAGGTGTGCCGTGTTGCTTCGCAATGGTCGGGTTTGCAACATGACCCATGGTGCCCACGCATGTCCGGTGAAGAAGACAAAGAGTTGAGGGGGCCCCGCTGAACCCACTGAGCAGTTGGGGAACAGTATGAGTCACCTCAAACCAAGCCTAGGGCGGCCGACCTCTTTTGTGGGCCCAACATGCCAGTCGCGTGCGCCCTCAGGTTCTGCGGTTGGGACTGTTTGGGGGTCGATTGGTGTCTGGATAGCACTCATGACCTGTCTAGTCCCGCGTGCCAGGGATGGCTCGCTGAGGAACTGACTCGGACAGATTTCATATGTGCTGCCTTTGACTGTTCTACCAAGAGCCGGGCCCGCGAAATCCCGAGAGTTTTTGCGGATGGGTCGGAGGCTCCACCGCCCCTCAGGTCAGAAGAGCATCCTCTAGGGCTACCGGGCCTCTCGAGAAGGGATGCTCGCAGAGTTAAGGTAGACAACGAAGCCTGTGCCTTTGTCCTGCAACAGATCCAACTTCACAGAGCCCGAGGCGGAGCATCAGTGAGAGAGAACCCACAAAACAGTTTGCACTGGTTTTTACCAACAGAACTGGACATGTGGAGCAAGGGCCATTGGCAGGACTTTGATTATGACGCCTGTGTTTTTCAAGGTGCTAGATGCAAACGGCAGAGGCTAAGGCACAACATAGAGGAAATCGACATGAAGGTGGCAGTCCAGTGCCGTCACATCCACTCCAAGGAGGAGTGGAAACCCTTCTTGGTGGATGGGAAGAGGCACTACCCGAGTCACGACGAGGCGGAGTACACAGCTGCTCTAGCTTACCACATTGCGGTGTCTGCTTCGTGGTGGGCAGCCAGAACAGGCAGAGCGCAGTTGCGTGTCCCCCGCTCTCCGCCAATCAGCTGTACGGGTGATCGCAGAGCATGGCTTGACTGGGATTCCCGTGCAACCAGACAGTGGTCCATGGTATCTACGGCAGTGCTGTTGGGCTTGGACCTCAGCAGCAGTTTTTCCCTTAGCCATATACCACGGCGCCGGTCAGTGTCTGAATTTGACTTGGAGGAGCTTAAGCAGTCGGGTCTTCCGGAGGGGCACATCTATGTTGGTCCTGGACATCATTCGCACAGGCTGCCCAGCACACGCTGGAAAGCTAGATTCGTGCCAGGACAGCATGGATCACGCGAAGAGTGTTTTCTCTTGTACGTGCAGTGGCTCAAGACCTCAGAACTTCCCGGCAAACTGGAGGAACTCTACCACCAGACCCTAGTCTGCGACTGCGCGCCGCACCAGCTCTGCCATGCTGATGCTCTCATTGCAGAGGCTGCTACAACCACCATCCCACAGGTGCGCAAGGCACGAGGTGGTCTTCCCCGCGCAACAGGGCGCCGCTGGGTCTGTTTGGCAGGGATGCCAACAGCACAGTCCATGCCTTGGACGCCGGGAATGCACTTTGTCCAGGAGGAGGTGATTGCCGCGTTCCGGAAGCTGTATCCACCGCAGTTTACTGCGGGGCTGAAGGAATGGCCGCTGGTGGAGGACTTGCTCAATCAGCCACCCTTCACTATCTACAAGGATTGGAGACTAGGCAATGGGCTGCAAGTGGACGGGGAGCTAGGCCCCGCGTTTCTGGATTGGCAAGGCCTCTTTGCGAGCCGAGCGGGAGCTGGGCTACAGCAGAAAGCCATGGCGCATCGTGCGGCCCTGCCGCCAGTGATCTCCTACAGTCTGGATCCGGACTTGCATTTCCAAGCAGCCATCACAGCAGCAGGCCAGACACTCCCCACGGAGCAACCCATTTGCCTTGACCACGAATTCGTGTTTGCAGCAGACGAGCATCGAGGCCGTCTGGAAGCAGCCCGCATGCGGAACCTAGGAGTGTTGAAGGAGCTGTCACGGAGATGGCAGGTGGTGACCAAGCACCTACGGCAATTCCAGCCTCCAGGGGTTGCTAGAGTCACCAAAACTAGGCATATTGCACTGGTAGCCCTGCTCCTCCTGATCATTTCATGGCCGGACCACATGTTCGCAGTCGACCTTGTGACAGGATTCCCGGCGGTTGCTTACGCTCCCCCGTGCGGGGCCTTTGCGCCCAGAGACATCGACCCTATCCACCTGCAATCCCTTTTTGCGGACGTGGACACCACCAACGCCGCTCTTCTATCCCGGCTCAGGCCAGGAGCGTTGGATGGCATCATGTTGGAGTCGGGGTTGAAGGATGCCAGCAAAGGGTTTGCAACAGAACCCCTCACATGGGAACAACTGCAGAGGCAAGTGCAGCGTCGGCCAGTGAGGCTGATCCCTCGTTTTCCTATCACTCAAAGCACTGGCAAAGTGCGGCCAATTGATGATGCTGACAAGGGTGGCCAGAGCGAACTATCAGCTGATGCCAACCACCTAGAGTTTTGCTCGGCTCTCCGGCCGGCGCAGCACGTTTGGGCGCTACAACAAGCTGCGGTCCTCCGAGGAGGCACCATCGCAGGCATTCCTGACCCATTACACAGTGCAGGGGAAGATTGGCCAGACGCATATCGCCTGGTGCCAATATGTGTGGTGGTCTTTTGGCACCCGGAGTGGAACAGTCCAGCATTCCAGCTGTACAGTGGTATGCTCTTTGGGTTGCCAATTGCAGTCACTTCCTTCAACCGATACAGCAGGCTGTGCGAGGCCCTGGTTCGTCGCTTCCTAGGTGTGCTCTTCTCCATGTACTTCGATGACTGCACCATGCAGGACTGGGCGAGCTCCAACGGCTCCGCTCAAGTGGCCGTGAAGGGATTCATGGCCGAGCTGGGTACTCCTTGGGCCGACGAGAAATCTCAGCCTTTTTCCAGTGAAGGCGACTTCCTGGGTCTGATGCATAACCTGGAGCACCTCACCACAAAGCAGACAGTAACCTTCTGGCCCCGAGACAGGTTGGAGAAAAAGGTGATCCACTTCATCCAGGAAGCCAGGTCAGCAGGGATGCTGAAACCAGGCGCTGCTAGTAAGTTGTTTGGCTGCACCAACTTTTTCCAGGAAGGGATTTTTGGGAAAGTTGGGAAAGCAGGGTTGGGGGCTCTCAAGGATAGACAGTATGAGCGGACGTCTGCGTTGACACCGGCACTGGAAAGCGCTTTCCAATTGCTTGAGTCAGTTTTGGCAGAACGTCCCAGACGCCTTTGCTCACTAGCCCCAGCCAACCCACGTAGGTTCGTAGTCGATCCTGGGCTTGCTAGTGAAGCTAGGCTGGGGCATGTGGTTCATGTGCCCCAGACGTTGTACGACTCCTGCCGGGCAGATGGCTGGCACATAGCACAACTAAAACTGCTTATGGTACTTGCAGCCCTTTCCGTGTACCCCGAGCATTTCCGAGGAAGAACAGGACTCTGGTTCTTGGACAATGTCGCTGCTCTGATGGCCGTGGTGCGTGGCCGTTCAGATACCCCTGACCTTGATCAATTAGCCATGCTTACACATGCTGCGATGTTCGGGTTGGAGACGTCCATATTTTTTGAGTGGATTCAATCCAAAAGCAACTGGAGTGACGCCATTTCAAGACTTGGAGCGGATGACCCATGGTCCCAACTCAATCAGTTTTACGTACAGCAGAGCTTCTTCAGACAGGAACTATGTTTACTCCCCATGCGAGCATGTATCAAAGTGTTTAGTTTCATGTGAAGTGCATTGGGTGGAGCGCAGAAAAGACCGGTCGTCTTGCGTGTGTGAAAGTGCGTTGGGCTAAAAGCTGGGGGTCCAGCTGGATACTGCTGCACCTCAGTAGCATAGCTGAGGGCAGTCAGTGACCAATGCATTAACATTCATACACAGCTGACATGCTTTTGCCTGGGGGAAAAGTGTGTGTCGGTCTCGCGCTTTATGTTTCCTCTGAATGTGTTCCATGTTAGTGCTTGGCAGGCCTTGGGTGACATGGCATCATTCAGGGAACATGTAAGCTTGAGTCAAAATGTGCTCGCCGTATGGGGTCCATTTTGGCTCAAGCTGAGCCAAAACAGCTTTCTTTCCCACCCACCCAACCCTGGGGCGAGTCGCCTAAAAGGCCTTCTCGTCATTGGGGTGTGGCAGGCCACGGTCCATGCATCAGTTGGAATGCTGATGAATAGGGACGCGGGGCGGCTGCCACTTCCAGCTGCACCCCATCTCCTTTCTAGTGTCAGGCCCTCTTGCGATTCAGGTGCTGTGCCCGTTTGGGGAGAGGCCTGGGCTAAAAGCTGGGGGTCCAGCTGGATACTGCTGCACCTCAGTAGCATAGCTGAGGGCAGTCAGTGACCAATGCATTAACATTCATACACAGCTGACATGCTTTTGCCTGGGGGAAAAGTGTGTGTCGGTCTCGCGCTTTATGTTTCCTCTGAATGAAAATACCTTCTCTTATTATTTGTATGAACAGAAGTTATTCAGACCATATTAATGTACTAGATGAAGCAGAGAAAGTAGAGCAAGTTGTAGTAACTGACAATAAAATTAAAATGTTGCTGTTCTTCATTAGAACTAATTAAGCTAGGGATACAATATATCAAAATATAAATGTCAATATTAATATACATGCCAAAAAAGAAAAAGAGTAAAAGCAAAGACAGACCAATACCAGAGGTCCAAGAAAGAATTGTAACAACACAAAGTGTTAAATCAAAGGGTGTGAGTAAAGCTATAAAATGTGGTAAATGTAATCATGTTATGAATTTTAAGAATGGATTGACAGTAGATACAAAAAGACGGTGTCAAGGTTAGTTGTGTTCCATGTATGTTTTCTGATGAAAAACCAGATAAAGACTTGAATATTGATAAAATAAACCAGGTGGCGATATGGTTATTGAAGCTAATGAACATTTAACTAATGTTAGTTTTAACAGGGACATAAGTTAGTATTTAAAGAGTAGGTTTAACAGATTCTATACATTTAGTTTTAAAAGTTTAGTTTTTAAATGTAGTTTAGTTTAGTTTTTAAATGGAGGAACATTTAGATAACATTGACAGTAGTTTGGAGTTGTTGTTTCCAAGATTAGAAAAACTGTTGGAACAAAATGAAAACATAATGAAAATCTTAAAGAGCATGAGTACGAAACCTACATATAGTAACAATAACAATTATCAGGCAAAAGAAGTAGATAGAGACAGTAGCGAGTACAAAAATTAACGAAACATGTATGTTAAGAGACTTAATGAAAAAGGCATTAAAGAACGCAAAGTCTGGATTGCTATCAAGTCAAGTATATCGAAGACACTAAGAGATACGTTTAATTATTAACTAACAAAATTTCATGTCTCAAAAGCGGTTTGTTTATTCCTGCTACTTTGTAAGTTTTACTGCCCATAATATCATATTCAATTTTGTCAACATTGAACATTTTATTAGACCATTTAGAGTTATACTCCTTTCTGTCGGTGTAATTGTCCCTTTTCTTTTGAATCACTTTTACCTTATCGTTCTCCTCTATTCTGGGATACCTTCTTTTATTCTTTTCTCGTAGTTTCAGGTTGACCTTTACATTTATTTCGTTGTCGTCCTTGTGTGCTTCGGTCGGTGTCATCCTTGTTGATGAGTGCAATGTGCTGTTATCCTGTTTCAATGCTGGTGTTAGGGCATCGGTCCATTTCATGTTGTTAAACCTAACTCTATCATGGATTTTGTTTTTCCATCGTCCTAATAAAACGCTGTGCCACGTTTGCGTGGGTCTTTGTTATTATGTGTTTGATACCCTGGACTTGGTTTTTTGTTGCAAAGACTCCATCATCATCAGAATACACGGACATATGATAACCCATCTTGGTAAAACTTGCTCTCAACGCCTTCAAAGCGTGCTCTCCGTCTCTTTCCTCCATCGGAATTACATCTGCGAAAGTACTGAAGATGTCAATCACGACTAAAGCATACTGTGGACCATCTTTGACCTTCGCTAAGGGTGTCATGTGCATTATGTCTGTTTGATATTCATATTTGGCAAACAGCGCGGTATAGGAATTGGTGCCTCTGTAATTCTTGATTTGTCTATTTGGTTGTTGTTCAAGAAAGACTTAACATCATCTAACGTTATGGTCGCGTCTTCTTCCTTTGCCTTCTTGTGTGTCGCATGTGTGCTTCCGACACCCTCGTTTAAGTCATAATAGATGTTGCTGATTATTTGGTCTTTCGTTAATCTCGCCAGATTAATTTGTTAGAAATTGTTTTATCAAGATAACCCCACCCCTGGACATAGAATAATTTTGACATAAAGAAACATTAACATATTATATTAAGTGAGAAAATGGAGCAGGAGACAGAAATGATTTTATTTTTCATTAAAAATACCTTTTTCCAGATTTAGTTAATTTTATAAAAATGGTGTATAAAGTAAGTACAACGTCTGATAGTTTTGTTGTTATTTGTAGTTATGACTATAGAATATTATTGCTAGAGAGTGTGGTGAGTTTTTTTACTCAAAAGATGGTATGCGTGATATGTTGGAGTTGTCATAATTTACTGGATGAAATCATTCAATACAACTACGACAATAATGACAATCAACAATACCACAGAGTTATAGTAACATCATTACCGAGACTTGTTGAACATTATTGGGATGGAATAGGGGGCTGGTTGGCATGAGTGATTTAATTTAATGATACCATTTTAGTAGAATATGATTAAACACAAATTTTGAAACTTGATAGTCAGGATAAGTGGTTAAGATTGAACTTAAAAGCTGCAACAGCAAACAAAGAACCCACCCCCGAAAAACTACCTAAATAAACAACCATTATATATATTAACAGAATGCTATTTGAATATACAAACTGTAGATGTTGCAAGAAAGAAATGACAAATGTTAAGGTTCTGTTAAACAACCTGTTTCCCGCTGGTATTTGTGATATGATATGTGATTACAGCCTCTACTGTTCAAAGTGTCTAGACCTACACCAGAAGGAAGCGAAGTTTTTTTTTAAAGAAGAACATGGTAGTAGCAACAAACTAACAAGACCGGAGCAACAGATACTTTTCTTCAAAGAGTGTATGAACCCGTATTTTCTTATCAAAAACAAATAAAACAAGCCTTCGTGTTTTCAAGAGGGAACTCGACCAAGTGTTAGACAATGAAGAATTTAAAGAAGAGTTTAAGAACAATAAAATGTTTGTTTCGGCGGTTAAGTCGTTTGCAAAGAGAAACAGGAAACACACCCACTACATTTTAGAACGTTTTCATTGGTATGCTGACATGAAGCAAAGCAACGAGTTAAGGTGTTGGTGGATGGTTGATTGGTTTTTGAGTGGCAATGGCCGCACATTTTTTTTAGAAGAGAAGAGTTTAAGGTAAAGCAATCATAGAAAGAGTGTTCAATACATACACTAGAGAATTACTCAGGGAATACAAAGAATACTGCGACGAAGACGGAGTAAGAGAACGCATAACAAGAGTAATAAATCTTTAGTCTATTCATATGAGTTAGTCATGATGTGATTAAACTTGGTAAACCTTTATAACCTTTCATTGTACAGTATTTTTTCCTATATCACAATTTCAATGACTAAAACGATGTCAAAACAAATGCCCCGCCCAACACCCCAGACATAACAACTACTAAAAGTCCCAACCTTATTCAAATGAACAAAACGTCACTCCCCAGCTCAACAATGAACAAGGTGACAATTTACCCAAATGACAACCTTAACGAAAACGATAGATAGACTCCCCCAAAACCCTATATTAAGAACGAATAAGGTGGTTAACAGGTTTGAGAAAAGGCAACCATCAACCGACCACCCCCCAGGCCCCCTACTTTTATCTTCTTTTTTTTTTTTGGGGGGGGGTTGGGGGAAGGCTCGCCACAAAACGAAATTAAACTTGTGGTTGTACCATTTTGTTTCTTGGTCCTTAAGCTTGGAGGTTTTTGATGTTCGGACTTGTGCTAGAAGAGTTTTTCCTGGCCAGTATAGCCGTATGCGGTTCAACAGGGTTCCCAAACAATTCCCTTTACAATAAAGCACCAAAAAGGTACCCTCAGAAAAGAGGCACCCAGTGGGCAAAATTGCGTTGTTTAGCCTTATGGGGTTTTTGCTGTTAGTCAGCAACCCTCAAGTTCTTTACGGGCACGCAGCTTTTGGCGGACTCAATCGGAATGGCCGGTCGACCTTTATAATCCTCCCATTGTTAAACTAGGAAGGGGTACCCTGCGAAATAGCCAGGAGCTTTCTTCGCAATAAATTAGGGACTTGTCCTATAGTGAGGAAAAGGGGAACCAACGGTTTTTGTGGGGTCTGGTTCCCCCTGCCCCATTTTTCCCGATTCTGATACCCAGGGATCCTCTCTCACAAGCAAACCTGCTGAATCAGGCTTCCTATGCTGGCGGAGCTGATGCCGTCGAGGCTTCAGGCACCGGCAGATGGGCGTATGACTCGAGTGGTTGATTCCGCGTGGTGACCCACTTGGACTAGGGGCGGGGTAGGGTATATCTAGGGTACCATACTTCCCAAGCAGATCGGCTTGAGTAATTATGGTGCTCGGATGGTGCCAATTCCGTGGTCGCCGAATCGATACCGCTCGGGAACCTCCCCCTTTGCATGAAGAATAGGTTCTTGGGAGGGCCGCTTCTCAGTGCTGCAGATCTACTTGGAATCCAGAAAGATCCATCTCATCTTTGAATAAACTCAAGTGCCGTTGGGCTCCATGTAGGTGCGTCTTGAGGGAACCCCCTTGTTGAAAGGAGCACCAAAGAAAACCACTCATGTTGGGGACCCCCCCAATTTTGAGACAAGCCCATGTTTTGAAGGGGAAGATTCCGTTTCCCAACGGCTTTCCGCGCACGGTGCTGCGAGGCGGTTTGGTCCGCCGAGCCCCTGCGGGGTGAAATGGGCTTCGGCCTCGGCGCTTCCCTTTTGTGAAGTCCAAAGAGCCAGCGAAAAGCAGGATCTTCTTCTGGGGGTTGATTCCCCGTTCTTTTCAACCATCGTTCTTCTCGAAAACCGGCTGTTTCCCCAGGGGTTTGGGTGGTTTTAGAAAGAAGGATGCCTGGAAAGCATGGGGGAGGTACCCCAGAACCTGCTGGTTTTGCTGGGTGTTCGGCGAATTTAAACTCCTCGGCAAAGTGTCTTCACCCAGCCTTTGTTCAGAGGCCCTTTTTTTGGAAAGGCCATTGGTTGTGGAGATTTAGGACCTGTTTGATATGCGTCTCTTCTCATGTCATTCCACATTTCTCAGTGAAAACTGATGTACGTTCCCCAATTGGACATTGCTTTGTGCAATTCGCTGGCTTCCTTGAACCTAGTTTTGTGGGGAACGCTCAACACGTGTTTTTATTTTTATTTTTGCTTTGGTTCCCTTTGCACCGGTATTCGCATATTTCCTCGTGCTTTCACCGGGGGCAACCCCCAATCTATAGGGCCATCACCCAGACAGAATTTTGCGGATCAACTGGCCGGTTTCTTGGTTTCCCTTTGAAAGCCATCGCAACAACAGGGTTCCATTTTTGGACTACTCCAAGTTTTAAGTCTTCCTTAGACCCAAAAAGGGGAACTTCTGGGATTAAGTGTTCCTTGAGGGAATCTAACGTCAGAGCACCACGTCCCGTCCGAACCTGGTCACTTAGGCCCGGGCTTTGCCGACACCTGCCACCGGGCCTTGCTCACAAACCACCGCCCGCACCTGAGGGAAACCCCTCGTGAGATCCGAAAACCCCTCGTCGGGTCGTCGTCGTGGCTGTCGTCTCTGTTTCGGTTTGAGTGCGAGAGTGGAATGCAACGTATACGTTTTATCGAGCTTGGTTCTGTGTGAGCGTGTTTTAGATGGCCATGGCTTCCCAAAGGGAAAGGCAAGGGTCTCACTCATTTTTCCATGTCCTTTACTGTACGCCAATTACATTTGTGTGCTCTGACGGTGGCTCGTGTGTGTCATGATGAAGATACCTTTTAGCTCGGTGTTAAGGATGGTCATGGACCTTTTGTAGGACATTTAGACCCTTGCGTAAATTGAGTCATCTTGGGGCCAACTTGTTTTTTTTTTTTCGGTGTGTCTTTTTCTGAGGGTACCCTTTCGAGTTGTTTTACTGGGAGACAATGTAAAATCGCCGCTTTCAAAGGTTCCCTCAACAACACAACAAAACCTACATGTTCAGGGCTGTTTCTTTGCTTCTTTATTTCTTTGTTTGTTTGTTTGTTTTTTCTTAGCAACACACACACACACACAGGTTGAGCTCTTTTTTCGCCGTTTCTTGTTTTTCCACACTTTTTTGCTTGAGCCCCCCCCGCCCTCCCGCCCCCCCCCCCCCCCCGCCCCGCCCGGCGAAGTGAGCTCCGAGGCCCGGAGCCGCTCTGCTCGGCGGCGCTGCTGCGGGCGGGCGCCCAGCTGCTGAGGGCGGGCGTGAGGCGGGGCCCTGGGCCATTGGAACCCATAACCGCGCGCTGCGGTCTGGGGCCATTGGAATGACGAGCGGTGGCAACCGATTTTTGTTTTAGAATGAACCGGCTCTTGGGGGATTTCCTGAGAGGAAACCACTTATATAACCCTCGGGGTCATTCCAACTCATTCCCTGCTGAGAAGCTACAAGAAACTGGAGGGTAGGGGGCCAGCCCACTTCTTAGTTTCCCGGGCTTTTGTGTGGACTCCTTGGACACTGATTGGGCTTCTTGTTTGGCTACTTCACACAAAAGGAGTGTTGGTTCAGGCCATATCTGTTTTATTTCCCGCATGGGGAGCGTTGAGTTATGGGTTCAGGAGGTTTGGAACTTATATACCGCTTGCACATGACTTTTGCTACATAACCTTCACAGACCTGCACAACCCATGCCTCAGGGGCTCGAATGAGGCTTGGTTGAAAAACCGGCCATCTCGGAGGGAGATGGGTCATTCATGGACTATTCCACCAAAACCCATGAACGAGCCCCAATTTTCGCATGTCCTCTCTTGTAAATGTCGCAAGAAAGGAACAAGGAACTCCAACTTCGCGACCCTTCAGTTTACCATGGTTTTGTGGTTGAGCATGGTAGGGGCAATATGGCTGCACGCCAAATCCCTGGTACCCCCCCAGATTCCCTTTCAGCATGGACCACACAAAAGGGGCCGGATACCAAACCCGGGTGTCTGGGTTTCGACCTGCGCCCATATAGTGTTAATGGGAACCAACAGGCAAACCACGATTTGTGGGGTCTTTCCACCAAAAGACCCACCCGTCCGGGGGTCTGGTATTCAACAGGAAACCACTCATTTTGTACTCACTTGCCCAATGCCGACCCTTTTCACCTTTGGGTTGTCCCATTTAAAAGTCCATTTTTTTCTAAAGGCCCCAAAAGGTGATCACCTTTCATTTCCAGGTCGTTTGGGGTGAGCGAGCACGTGGCAACCGCACGGATGCCGTCGGCTTGAAGTCTGAGAGGCCCTCGAGCCGGGCCTTGCTCCGCTCGCTGGCCCAGCGCGCGGCCCTCGCACAGGCCGCAGGCGCGGAGGGTTTTCGCCGAGCGACAAGCCGGGGTCCTTGTCGAGGAGCCCATGTTTGATGTTTTTGTTTTTGTTTTACCGGGAAGCCCAAAGGGAAACAGAACGATGTCGCGGGTCACCGAACTTTGTGACGACATCTGCGTTCGGACTTCAAACCGAAACCGGATCCCTTCAAGTCCTCAAAGTTACCGCTCTAAATGGCGCCAAAGGAAAACTGGCCCCCCAAGCAATTTGGAGAACTTTGAGGAACCTACCATCCTCATTTCAAGGACAAAGCCACTTCCCGTTGAACGGATTTTGGTAAACTTGTTCCAGAAGACTTGAACCAAAGGACAGTCACGCGTTTGTTGCATCCGAAAGGATACCATTTGGTAGAAGCGATGAATTTAGGGACACCGAAAACTGGCTTCAGAGTTGAGCTTCTGCCATTGTGTTCAGAGAAATGAGGGGCCTTCCTCTTTCAAAGCTGGCTCATTGTTGCAAGTTCCATGACTAGGAGGCTTGTCCTATCCGCTGGGTCCATAGATTGATCAACCCCTCAGGGTATGGGTGAAGGCCTGGCATTGTCTGACATGGCGGACCCAATTCAGGAATTGTGATTGAACGCTTTGACCCTATTGCCTATTGCGGCCATTTGTTTTTCCCGAACGAAAAGGCCCTTGTTGCGGTTTGGACCCAATCTATCCGACTCTCGCGAGCTTGAGGCAGGCCCCGTGTTGCATGTGCTTGGAGGTAGCTTGCAACGTGAGATGCGAGCCACAAGAAAGACCGATTTGGGTAGATCAAGGTTAGCAAAGCACAATGCCCTTGCCATAAATTGGTGAGGATATGAGAAGCAGAAAAGCCTTTTTGATTGTTTAGCATAGGTTTTGGCTACACACCTTCAGTATATAGCATGTTCTGATTGTGTCTCATGTGAACAGCTCGCCCGAGATGCTTTCGACGATGAAGCGGAGGAGGAAGCGTGGAGCTCACTTTTGTCAGGCAGCCGAAACCGTAGATATTCACAGGGTCCTTTTTGGATGATTTTAAGGGGACAGCAACCGCCTGAATGATTATTTTGACAGGAAGAGCGTCTGTCTTAGAGAGGTCACCCCTGAAGTCAAATTTCTTCCACTCCAAGAGGGGTTCCTGCCTCTGATGCAACTCGATGTCACTCCGAAGCGAGCAGCCCCAAACGCCCCATTGGCGATTTGGGGGTCTCTTGGATTCATGGGCGATGGGCTTTGCAGCGCCGTGCCAACTTCCCAGTTCAAAAGGCCTTAGATGCTTGCGGGCTCTGCCATCTGTTTCCCAATTTGAACTTACGGTCCCTTTGATCTTATTTAGGTGAATTCCCCGCAGTTTTTTGCCTCACACACACACACACAACCAAAATGGGCAGCGTACAGGCTTCCCTCTCAGTTTGTGTACTTCCAAGTCTGCGGGTGGGACTCCATTCCCCCACAAAGGAAACCCGGGCAGGATGCAGGGAGCGGAGTGTACATCAGAGTTGTGGACGTCTGGGAATCGGGAAGGCCGTCTCCCAGTAGTGGTATCACAGAACCGGCTGGATTCTTTTAAGTTTTCTTGAGCTTTTCCTCAAAACCCAGCCACGCCCATATGATAGCTTCTAGTAGGGCTTGAATTTGCTTGTTGACCGGACCCCACTTGGCCTTTCCACGGTTTGCTCAACTGAAGAGCCCGCCCCGTTGCCATTGACACTTGGAGGTTACTCCAAACTCAACACACCTCCACCCTAGTTTGCAAAACTGCAAAACAGCCCGGATTGGTTGTCCTGAGGTTTGACCTTTAACCTTTGCATGTTTTTGGAAGATCGTAGTGCCCCTACCAGCAAGGCGACCAGAAAGCCCCTTTTGGAGTTCTTGGGGGAAGAGTACCTTTGTGCAGAGCCTGAACCATGGGGGCAAGAGCAACTTGTGCAGGGCCTGACAGACCTTTTTTTACAAACTTTTCCAATTGTTCTTTTCCTCTTTCAAGCAAAAAACACATGACCCTGTTGAGTTTCTGTCAAAATCCTAGTTTTCCCTCTTTCTGACAAAGAGCGTATCTCTGCGCAGGGGGTCAAAGACCAACAGGCACCCTCCCTCGCTTTCCGAGGCCCAGGAGCGACAAGCGGCCCGGTGCGTCCTGTCAGAGCTGCTGCGCGGGCCACTGCCCAAAGACTTGCCAGCGACTCAGCGTGTCAGCACGTGGGCATCTTTACGAGGGAAATCCTCTAACTCCTGCTGTGCGCTGTTGTCGCTCCCGACCGCGTCTGCGCTGACAAAAATGATGGTGCGCCGGCCCACAGCATCCTCAATGGCTTGTTCACGCAGGGCCAGAAGTAAATGCTAGCGCGCCCACCCGACTGCTTCCGCGCTGGCATGTTTTCTTGACAATCGAAGACCTCGACTTGAAGTAGTTTTTTGCGTGCGTCGCGCACCCCCATTTCACAAAACTACTGGTTGTTGTTGCTGTTGCTGTTGCTGTTGCGGTTGTTGTTGTTGTTGTTGTTGTTGTTGTTGTTGTTGTTGTTGTTGTTGTTGTTGTTGTTGTTGTTGTTGTTGTTGTTGTTGTTGTTGTTGTTGTTGTTGTTGTTGTTGTTGTTGTTGTTGTTGTTGT